TTTTTTTTTTTTTTTTTTAACTCCCGTTCAAAGAATTCTTAAATAAACAATTTGCGGAGACATACGCACATCGTGCGACTTTTGTATATATATATATACCCAAGCATCCCGACGTACGCGCGCCGCACTCCTTCGCACATCATCTCTCGCATATCTCCGAGAACAAAAATTAATGACGGACTAGAATGTAGTTTCAAGTATGGATTTTCTTCGCTCGCGTTTTTTCTTCTTGATGATGACGATGATATCCTCATTTCCTCACGCCGCCGTTCACTTCCGTCGCTCGCGCCAACGGCTTTTTGCCCGCACTCGATATAGTTCTCGCGACACCGGAACTGTTCTTGTTGCCCTCGAATTTCTGCTGGAGCGACGCCACGTTCGACTTGCCGTTCGCCGCCTTTTGCAACGTTGTCGTCCTCGCTCCCACGTTTCCGTCCGTGCTCTTGGTCTCCGCTTTGGCGGTCACCTTCGACGTCAAACCGGACGACACCTTGGTGCCGCCGTTGTTCGGCTCTTTGCTAGTTGGCGACAGCGATTTTGTCACACTGCCGCTCGGAGACTTCTTTCTTTCCGAAAGACCGCCCGTTTTGGACGTAATGTTCAACGGCTTCAAGGGAGTCGTGGGCGTTTTCTGTGGGCCGCTCCGCGGCAACGTCGACGTCGTCTTCTGAACGGTCTTCAGAGGCAGACTGAACTTGGAACTGCCACCTACGACGTCCGGTGACTTCGTGCCGGAATTCGAACAGCTCGAAACCAGGTCCGGGCTATTAAACTTGCTCGGATTATCCTTAGGACTACAAGGCACATTTTTGACAGACACGGTTGTACGCGAGTCTTCTTTACCCAAGTCGCTATTCGACTTGCTCATTGGCGTTTGCCTCGCCGTTGGACTCGCGTCCGAATTTTGTTTCGTTGTCGAACTCGCGTCAACAGCTTTCGAGGAGAGTCTCAGGGATTTTAACGTATTATCTGAACTTTGTCTCGTGAGTTTTACGCTCGACTCGGACGTTTCCTTAGAACTCGGACTCTTCGCGATGTTGGGAGGCGTCTTGGTTCTACTTAGCGGCGGTTTAAGCGGAATCTTGTTCTCAGTTTGTTCATCCTTCTTGATATGTAGCAAGTTAGACGGTCGAGGTTTTGTTGGTGCGAACGATTTGTATCCTAAAGAATTCTCAGCCGGCTTCATCCCCAGTTCCTTGGACAGTTCGTCGTTTATATTGGGATTATTGGATTTAAGTGTGTTAAGCTTGCTTGTGTGCTGCTCGACGGTCTTCAAATCGTTCGCATTGGCGACATCTTTCCTATCCGCTTGAGGACCGTTTATCACGGACGGATGGAGATAACCGGAACTCGTAGTGGAACTCGATGAGTTAAACTTGCCGGAAGCGGCATTCGAGTACACGCTTCCGGGAGTTTTGTAGTGGCTCGCATTCATGTAGCCACCCAAGGAACTGTCGGAATCTATATTCTCTAAGTTCTTCGTCGCGTCGTCTTCATCCTCACCCTTTTTCTTTCTGCTCAGAGTCGAGCTGGAATATATGGAGTCGAAATTGCGATTCGATATCTCCGACACGATTTCAGAAAGCAACCCCATAGATTCCAAACTGTTCGGAGCAACGGTAGACATCGCATCCACGCGTTTGGGTTGTTTGTACTCGTTATCGTTTAACTTAGTTTCCATCTCCGTGTTCTTTCTGTTCTTCTCCGGCACCGGTTCCTCTATCACCGCGTAGATGTTATCGTTCGTGGGCGACTCTTCCGCGATCTTGGTCAAGGACGAGTCTGAGATCAAATTCATGCAGTCGTCGTAAGTATTCTCTAAGGGTTTCGGGGCAGTTTTCACCGGCGGGTTCTGATAACCAGGCAGTCCTGGGATCTTGATCGCGTTTTCGACGGTCTTCTCTGTCTGTGCGGTGATAGGTGGACCGGGAGGCGGTGACGTGGGCCTCGTACTGGCGGGAATACTGGTCGGTCTTTTGGTCACGGGTGTGGTTTGTTGTCGCATCGAACCGAACGTAGGGATAGGAGGTCTCGGAGTGATCTTGCTGTCCCTCATCGACTGAGCGCGCAGAACCACATTTTTCTTCTCCTCGTCGGCCGTTGGTATCACAGGAATGACTGGAGTCGCGATCTCGATATTCGTCTGCGGTATGGGATTTGATATCTCCAGATTCCTCAAGATCTCCTTGTCGATGACCTTGTTGGCCTTGTGATGCTGATTTCTCGGCAACGAATTCGTATTCTTGTCGTCTCTCTGTGAGTTGCTTCTCATGATCCCGGAGCCGGGACGCAACATAGACGCGATTCGATTGAGCGTGCTGCCTTTCTCCGCTCTCTTCTCGGGTTCTGGCAGAATCACGTTTGTCAATGGCGTGCTGTTGGGTCTCTGGGGTTTCGCGGGAGCTGCGGGCGTTACAATAACCGGGGCCGGACACGTTGGCACATCCGGAGCTGGTCTGGTAGGCACCTTGGCGCTTACCAGTTCGACAGACGTACAAGTCGTGGCCGCCAGCACGGGACTACTTATAAGCGGTCGCGCTGTAGATCCCGGATTCGGCGGAGGTAATGTCGGTGCGATGGAATTTGAATCGTTGGAAATCAACAAATTGCTTCTTTGTGACATATTGCACTTTTGCACATTTGGCTTCGAAATGTTCGTTTTTATTGCCACGGTTGGTATCCAGCCCGGCGGTGGTGGCGCCGGTTTCGTAGGCTCGGCCAGTTTCGACTGATCGTTCGAACGCAACGGCGTGATCGTAAAGCCTTTGAACTGGCCGAACATATTGTTGTTGTAGCGCTCGTCCGTTTCTGTTTTCGGTAGCAGACTCGCGCACGCCGGATCTTGACTCAGACTAGAATCGATCGTCTCGATGTTACGGGACATGGGGCTGGAACGATCGATCGTTTTGATTAGCAATCCATTGTGGCCACGATCGCTCCTGAAATTTGAAGCAGAATTATAAGCGGAGGGATTATAGAGGAATTTGTAAGCATATAAATTATAACGCAGAAGCTAAACGAATATTTATTTACGTTGACGAGTAAATATTTAGTCACTTCTATTTTTGTTTGATACAAAAAAATTAGAAATTAATAAACGCACACGTTGCTGTTTTACACAAATCTCTCTAATAGAATGAAAATATGCGTTCGTTAACGTATCAAGTAATTAATGAAAGGTATATGTAACATACATTCGATGAAAATATATAGATGTACATTGAAAATTTTTCACTGAACTTACTCTGTTGTTTAGTTTCATGTATACATGCGTTTTTTTTTTTTTTTTTTTTTGGAAATAATTGAAAATAATCTCGTGCAAAAAAACGCTTTCTCTTGCCGAAATATAAATAGCTGTTCACCGCAAATCCAGACACATGCGTAGATAAGAGAAAATCGCAGGGTAAAGTTAGTTACAGATTAAGATGTTAGTAGCAAGCGCGTCGGAGAAAAGATGGAAAACGTTGATTATAAAGGAAGAGCAAAAAACACTTTATGCTAGATACTAAGTTTTATTCAATAATAAAATATGATACATTTTATATGTACCTAGATATGAGAATAACATTATGAGATACTTTTCATATTTTCGAAAAATAAGTGAAAAATTTATAAAATGTTTTATTAATGAAAAAATAAGTACCTATGAGATTATTATTATTATTATTATAAAAAGAAATAATGACGAGAAATTGACGGTTTTTAATCTAGCAATTAATCAATTGCCTCATCATAAATGCCAAGCTAGCGAGAAAAGAATCTTCATTCATGCTCATGCTAATATAACATAATTCTCTGCACATGCTCTACATATTGTAATCTCTCGTCTAAATTTCTGCCTTCGTACAGCGCAATATGTCTACATAAAAAAAAAAAATATTACATTTAATTTTCGAATTAAACGATATTGCAGATTTCAAAATAAACAGTATTTTGTTCTGCAAAACTTGTTAAACATTATATAAATGTGCGCAGTTTAAACAGATTAATTGGTTTGAAATATATATGTAGGTAAAATAGAGAAAGAGAAAGAAGAGAAAAAGAATTGCAAAAATACATGAATGAACAATAAATTACTCGTGTCACACAAACTTTTTGTTGCAAAGCAAATGCACACTGTGATACATTGAAGTGTATGTGCTGAAAAACTTTTATTTAAGTAATATTGCTAACGCAATTAGTAAAAACAAACTTCAAAATTTTAGGCAGTGTGTGAGTTTATGTTTAAAAAATCGAGAACAAAATGCTGTTCGTTTAAATAGTCTTATTAAACGTCTAAGTTTGTAATTATAACTTCTATACACTTATTATATAAAACACAAATAAAACTGTTTTGAGCAGGTTTAATTACACGCTAGACAGTAAACGTGATAGTTAATATTATTTGCGTCCTTAATTATATAATAATTTTCTTTCATATAATTCGTGAAAAAATATGATAATTTTGACTAACAATATATTATTCATATTGTTTTGTTGTATTACAACTATTATTGGAATCACAGTAATGATCATTGTAACGCATTTTTTTTTGCATCAATACTGTTCAAATTCCAAATTTACATATATAAATGTATATATACATATGTATATATTAATTACAATATTTTATTTAATTCCATATTTTTAAAATACCACCACCAATTTTTTTTCATAATCCCGTCATCATCATAATAATGCAAAAATCATCAGCTCTCGTATACGCGAGTAATGCGCTATGACATTTGCACTATGTCGAACAAAATCGTTCATAAAATCGTTACCTATTTTTTCAAAGACATTTATATATCTGTTTTTGAAAAATATATTGCATCAAATTCATAAATTACGTACACAATTCCTCGAAATTTCTAAAATTATTTTATGCTGGTTTTTAAAAATATTTACTTTATATTTTATAAATTATTAATATTATTCTTTAATAATAATTAATTCCAATGTAATCTCCGATACAATCTCCAAAGTATCTAAGAATAGATTTAGAATTTATTAATTCTGTGACGTGTATAAATTTTTTCAAAACTTGTGATTCAAAACTTATACAAGTTACGGATATACAAGCGGTATATCATGAATTATTTCATAAATAATAATATACACATTTCTATATAACACTACATAAAATTTTATGCAAAATAGTTGCGAGTATATAGATTCGTATACAGATGAGAGAAACTGCTCAGATCTTTGGTTTCAAGCTTTGAGCGGGTGCCGGTGGGGGCGGTGGTTTTTTATTATAAAACGGAGCAGGCATTTTTGAATTATTAGTTAATACATCCGAGGACTGCGGACTGATGTCGGACGTATTAGCTGGACTCTCATTCAAATGCTCGAACTTTAATTCGGTATTGAGCGTGAGCCCTTTCACATTCTTAGGTGATTTTTTCTGAAACTGTTGAATACGGTCCGATACTTTCCAACCTAATTCCGTTCTGAGCGGGGGGAGTTTTGTCGGTTGAACCTCAACGGTGGGCACCGAAAGAATCGCGATATCGTTCGGAGGCTTTGCCGGACTAACGTCCGACTTTCCGATCCCGAACAACAATGACTTTCTGTACTCGATATTGTTGCTACATTTGATCGCGTCCGGATTGGTGGTGGAAATCAGATCAGTCTTGATTATCTGGAGCGACTTTTTGAGATTCTCGTTATCGCTTATCGTGAACATTTTTTCATTTTCGTTATGTAAAGTATTTTTTTGTTTCGGCGCGAAATAAGCGGATATTACTCCGAAGAATCTACCGGCGGTGTAGTGTGTCTTTGGCGTAGAAACACTGTGTGACTTATTAGCATGCGATTTGCGTTTCTTTCTAAAACGGTCGAGACTAGATACGTACGTAGACATCATATCTTTCTTCCAGTGTTGTCCGGAGTTCCTAATGTACCAGACTCCGAACACCAGTAGAGCCACGGCGGGCACTATTCCCAGAAAGATAACGTAGAGCGCGGTTACAAAATCGTTCCTCACTGAAAGACACACACGCAAAACATACAAGATGTTAAAAATCTTAATCTTACAACATCTTGAAGTAAAATGTCGGAATAGCTATAAGAAAAAATAAAAAAATAAAAAAAAATAAAAAAAATTGGATTACCAAGCAATTAATTTTCACTTTTCACTGTTTGTAAATAATAATAATAAAATTTACTGTTGCAAACAAAGTATATTTACTGTTAGGATCTTCAGCTGGACCGCTATCCTCGGAGCCGCCAACTCCAGGTTGAAGACAATCTGGTGGCCGAAAGCCATGGTTGCAATGGCAATGACCAAGACTGTTGCACACTCCGTTGCCGTTGCAATTATTCGGACAATTTTTGCCCGTAGACGCTCTCAAATCTGCTACTGACATGCACTTCTGATTGATACACATCTACGATACAACAAGACAAAAATCGCGCAATTGTGACATTTATGTAAATGTTGCCTTAAAATCAAATTTTTGTTTCATAAAAAAAAAAATACAAATATTATAAACATCTCGCGAATTCTTACCTTTCCGTTCGCGCATTTGGCACCGTCCGGCGCGAGTCCGGGATCGGTGTCGGTTAACCCAAGATCGATGATGGCCGAACGACAAGGTAATATTCTCCCGTTGTTATTAATAAAAGAATGACTCAAAGTCGAGACCGATTCCATACCGAATTCCAATCGTTCGTTCAAGTGCTTGCAGTGTAACATGCCGCATCGGATATTTCTACAACATATCCGCGTTGATATCCTTAAAAGTGTCGATTCTCTCGCAACTCTCTATCTTTTTATTTCTGATAATACATAATCAACTTACTGAGGATTGCACTTGGTGTAGGTTTGGTCGATGCGATTGAAACCGCAGTTACCGTTTTTATTTCCCTTGCTGTTCATGTCGTAACACTGTGCGTCCGAAGACTCGCCAGTTGGACCCCAAAGTAGCTTGCACTGATCGTCGTGCGTTCTACACGAGCCCTGATAACAAAACGCTTTGTCGTTACTGCAATTCTCCCCGTCCATCTTGAACACATTAGCCGGACAATATTCGCTCTGGCCCGTGCAGTATTCCGGCAGATCGCATTCGTGATCGGCGCTTCTGCACTCGGTACCAGCCGTTTTCGGCTTGCACGTTGCCAGGTCGCAACACGCGCCAGTGGCGCAGCTAGCGTTTCCGCGCAACATGCAAGTTGTCGCGTCGCAACAGGGATTATTGCAGTTTTCCTTTAGACCGCAGTCGCACTGCTCGCCTGGCTCAACAAAACCGTTACCGCATATGGGACTGTCAAACAGCTTTTGCGGCTTGTTCCTCAGGCAGTAGTCCATTCCGTGTTCGAAGGCGATGATTAAATGTTCGATCGAACACGAGGACCAGTGAGTTGGACCGTAAGAACCGCTAGAAGACGCCATTATGCATCTGAAAGTTGATAATAAATCCAACAACAATACAGTTAGACACGTCTAAAATCTTTAAATGACGAATCGAAAAGATTTAAAAGGATCGCGGAACTACAACGCACTTCTCTTCCGGACATTCGCAGTCCGGACTGTCGTGTTCCATTCCGAAATTATGACCCATCTCGTGAGCAACGGTGGCCGCGACCAAACCCACGACGCTGGAGTGATCCATGGAAACGCCGCCGGAGAATTCGTACGTACATATCGGGCCTTTCAACGCCTTGCCGACCACTCCAGCTTCAAAAGTAATTCGTCTGCGTGATCAAAACATAAGAAGTAGAAATTAATTGCTTGAGATTAATTGATTTATTTATTTACAAAAAGTCTTAAATAATTAAATAATTTTAATGTGTTGAGTAATGGGCTTCTGTGAACCAAATGCAGGAACTTAGGTGCAATAATGAAGACTGTGTGTGTCTCGAAACGTTTCGACTTGTATTTAAGTCATCTTCTGTCGAATGAGCAAAATAACAATTAACACTTCAGCATCAATAATGTATGTTACTTATATCATTGTGTCGTGTTTGAGTGTAGACAAACTGAGTTTGGTTCACAGAAGCCCATTACTCAACACATTTGAATTTTATTATACGAACCCGAGGAAGTCCTCAATACTCTCGTAAATTTTAAATAATTTTAATCTTTAATAATTTTAATTTTAATATTAGTGACAAATCGAGATTACTCTCAGGCTCTATAAGTCTAACAGAGAAGGCGACGACCCGGAAAGCCGGAGATTCCAGGTTCGACTCTTGACTGAGGAGTTTTTTTCGCAATATTTTAAAATTAGTTAGGGGGGTATACGGGGTCTTTCATATATATATGTGATGCAAATCCAGCATCCTATATGGAGGAAAAAAATTATTTCGAAGTATATATGTGCATACACTGAGAAAAAAAAGTTGTTGAAGTAACAAAATAGTATTTGATTCAACTATATGCAGCGGTCACGGGCTGTCAATGAAATATTGATTAATGTAAGAAGATATTATGTTTCAATAGATATAATAATTAGGTTATACCGAAAGACAATTTCGTTGTTTTAACAAAATTATAATTTGCTTAAATACAGGTAACTTTGATTGTACAACACAATAGGACAACACAATATTTTGTCTGCTTATAAAAATAAGCAGTTTGATTAGATGAAATACTTAGTAAAAAGAAATTCAGATTATATTCAATTAAAGTAAATAAGAAGTGCCTATTTCATCTTTCTTAACAATATCTTTTATTTGAAATTATCACAACTTATGTTCGACAAAACAATTCATGGTTTAGTGAATTAAATATGTTCATTACCACTATTGTTAATTCAACTTATACGAATTTGTTATCTTTATTACCATATGCTTGAATTAAAAAAACAAGATATTTCAGATAACAAACTGAAACTCAACTAAACGCATTTAGTTGAGTTAATAGTATTTTTTTCTCAGTGTACATATATACAGGGTGTCCCAGAATTGCCGTACAATCTCTCGTAGGCAGATAGAAGGAATAAAACTGAGTCGAAAAGTCCTGAACCATTTTTTTTTCTATTATTTATAATAAAGGAGTAATTATTGAGTAAATCAGGCCAATCAGCGCCGACCTTTAGCCAGGCGCACGTCAGTGAACTGCGCGGAGCGCTCACACACACCAGGCGCGTGGTTCACTGACGTGCGCCTGGCTAAAGGTCGGCGCTGATTGGCCTGATTTACTCAATAATTACTCCTTTATTATAAATAATAGAAAAAAATGGTTCAGGACTTTTCGACTCAGTTTTATTCCTTCTACGAGAGATTGCACGGCAATTCTGGGACACCCCGTATAAATTTCACATTCACGCACAACATCCTGCGAACGGCTCTTCATGGTCCTATATTCATATATTATTAATTTTAATTTTGTTCTTGTAAATTATCAAGAGGCACGGTAGTGCCTNGCGCCAAGTATATGCGCAAACGAAGTGCGCGCGCGCGCTACGCGAGGTATAAAACAGACACTGAAGAGGACTAGAAACATAGTCGAAACGTTTGTTAAACATATTGTGTTGTTATGGATCATTTCAAATCAATCCGCATACAAAGTTCAGCAAAGCCCATTTGACATTATTTCACATTGGATTCACCAAGTCTGAACCTGAGGCATTTCCTCGTTATTTTGAATTTTAAATAATTTAATTTTTCATTAAAACATGATTAAATAAGATTACAAGAGAAATAAAATTCACAAACTGACGCTCACTTGTGTTTACATTATTTAAAGTAGACGCATTGCGCGCGTTACACTCACGTTAGCAGCTGGGCGTTGTCGTTGGGAATGTCCTGAAGCAGCTTTTCTCTGCGGTAGCGCAGAAAATTGTTCAGAGTGATGTCGCCGTTCGGCAACAGCGCTATCTCATCCGACTCGGACCATACTTGCACGCCAACCAGGGCGATGAATATGTTCAACGGCATAAAGAGCTGCAAACACACCGCAAAGATACCGTGTATATATTTTACATGAAGGTTTCGCGGTGCCGTGATACGCGGCACAAGGTCGGGTACGCGCTAATTAATCTCCCTGTCTAGCTGCGTCAGAACGAACCGTCAGCGGTGTGGACACATGTATAAGAGACATTTAAAACAATGGCGTCTGTGTTAACAACAAGTGCTGAAAAAGCACATTTGAATTTTATTGTATACATGTACATACATTTAATAAATGTTGCAAAATATTTAAAAACTATATATTTTTGCACGAATTAAAATTACATATGATTTGTTTCGCACTAGAGTGAGAGAAAAGAGACATTTGTGTCTTTGACGAGACAAATGTGTCGTTAAAATAGATAGTCGCTTCAAATGTGGAGATCATTACCGCGCGGATGCAACGCAGCGGATTTTCCACCGCTATTGTGAACAGACTAGAAACTCGCCCGTTGGGTTTGTCGATAAATTAAAAGGAAGGAAGTATGAGATATTATTGCTTCAAGGAAACTAGTTAACGGAGTCTGACTATCACGCAAACTCTGGCAAATTTCGCTTCACGGCGAAGCAAATCTCGAAGTTTAATTATTAAAGAATTTATTAATTGTTAAATAATAGAGAATTATCTCGGGTTCTTTTAGTATCAAAACAAATGAATATATGTAAGTCTGGTCAGTAAGAGCCGATCGCAGAATGTTGTGCGGAAATGATGTGCGTATATGTATATACGTATGCATACATTTATATACAGGGTGTCCCAGAATTGGTGTGACATCTCTCGTAGGCAGGTAGAAGGAGTAGAACTGAGTCAAAAAGTCCGGAACCATTTTTTTTTCTATTATTTATAATAAAGGAGTAATTATAGAGCAAATCAGGCCAATCAGCGCTGATCTTTAGCCAGGCGAACATCAGTGAACCGTGCGGAGCGCTCACACACACCAGGCGCGTGGCTCACTGACGTGCACCTGGCTAAAGGTCGGCGCTGATTGGCCTGATTTGCTCTATAATTACTCCTTTATTATAAATAATAGAAAAAAAATGGTTCAGGACTTTTCGACTCAGTTTTACTCCTTCTACCTGCCTACGAGAGATGTCACGCCAATTCTGGGACACCCTGTATATGCATTCACGTGTAAATTTTTCACGTTTTTTTTCTTTTTTTTTTTTAAACTGAAATAACAATTCTTTAAATCATATAGGATGCTAGGTTTGCATCACATATATAAAAAAGATCCCGTATACCTCCTAATTTTTAAAAATTCACTCACATGAAAAAAAAAAAACAATTAATAATGATTTAAGGCTCGTTGAAATTAAACCAAGAAATATATAAGGCCTTACGAGCCGTTTCCAGGATGTTGAGCGGAAACTGTACGTGTATATATATATACATATACACACACATATATGTATATACATATATATACATATATATGCATACACATGTAACGAGTTCAACTTGTAAATTTTTACAAGTGAGTATTTTTTGAATTGAAATCTCTCAATTCTTAAATTCATACGGGGAAAAAAACACTCACGTGAAAAATTTACACGTGAATGCATATATATAAATGTATGCATACGTATATATACGCACATCATTTCCGCACAACATCCTGCGATCGGCTCTTACCGACCAGACTTACATATATTCATTGATTTATAAATAATTTAGTTTTAAAAGAGTTTCTAAAAAACATTGAAAATCGCAACAGTAGATCAACTTTATTGGAGAAATATATATGTATTGGCTTTATTTAATTTCTTCGCGATGAATTTTAGTTAAGACACGTGTAACAAAACTTCAATAAAATTTTATTATTTATCTACACGAAGTTTTCGCGTGCTTCAAGAGTTTCTTCTTTCTGAAAAGAAAGAGAGAGAAAGAGAGAAAGAGAGAAAGAGAGAGAGAGAGAGAGAGAGAGAGAGATAGGGAGAGAAAGAGGAAGGATTCGAAACAACCTTGTGAATACGCGATGTAGGGAGATCAAACGATTCGACGTATTTAACTCTAAATGAAGCTAAGATTCGTAGAATTCGTAGATGTTAGATATGACTAGGCTAGAAATTTACACGTACGTTTTCCGGCGAATTTTAGGGAAAGGAAACCGTGAATGTGTTCGTGAGCGGGTAATTGGATAATGAGGTTGTTGAATTAGCGCGCTGTGCACTTTAGATCGTTCTCATTCGACTTGAGGTCGAAGAGGGAATTATACGGCCAATTAAATTACGAGACGGCGGCGTTACTCACAGCGTTGATAATGTTAGCGATGTCCTTACAGTGCTGATACACTTTGTCCAGATTCTCGCCGAGCGCTACGTATTCCTTCTTGTCGATTACGAGCACCAACTCCACGTAACGCGACTCCTTGTTCGCGTTGTAGGGTCCACGAATGACTTCGGCCGCTCTTTTGTGCTGTGAAAAAAGAAAAAAAAAAACTACGATGACGAACAACGCGCGCGGAATTCCGAGTTATCGAGATTTTGAACGGTCGAAGTTTAATTATTCACTCTCTCTGTTCGATTCTCTGATAAACAATTCATTCAACTCTCTCGTGTAATTTAACATTTTAATTAGTGGTGTTTTAATAATTTAAAATATTGTAGTCTATATTAAAAAAATTAAATTTTTAAGAATGAATCGACGATTTGTCATTCTTGTGACATCAATCACAACGTTAATCAATATTTCTCAAACTGCGACAAAAATATTTATTTATCGTTTCCTCCGACAAAGAAACGGAGGGGAGAAAACGACAAAGAGAAGAACGACGAAAAGGGCCGCGTCACCGCGAGTCACCGAGGGCCTACCGGCCTCGTTCTTTGAAGTCGTATATAATTTACCAGAGAGGAAACAAGTTACGCGAAATCCTTTTCTGCTCCCCTCCCCCCCCCCGTCGTCGCACTGTTTACGTACCCTGGAAAGCCTTTTAATTCTGTGCTGATCATGAGGAACGACGAGATGCGGCGACGTGCCTTCGTAACCTGCAACCGAAGAAAAAAAACGTCAAACAGGAACACGCGGATGTTAGAATTCCCGGTAGAAGCGGAGGACGAAGAATCTACGGAGGCAAGCGCGCGGAGAAGGCCTTGCTCTCTCACATTCGTTAAGACCGTTAAAGGAGAGACCAGTCTCTTTCCGAGACGCGCAAGCTTCTTTCTGAGGCAGCGGCTTCTTTCTCAGAGAAGAAGGAGCAAGGGGCGGAGAAGGACAAGGACCCGTGCGCGCTCCTCTTCTCGCGCTGATATTTCCGAGAGAGTCAAAGCGCGCCACTATGTTCTTGAGAGAAATCCGGAAATTTGCTTCATCACAGAAACAGAAATTGTTAACGCGACAACGCTCCCGTCTCACAAACCGAATGAATAAATGAATCGTGTATGTTAAATTTGTGAGTCAACTTGTTAGTCATATATGAAACACTCCGAGTGCCTAATTACGAATCTCATTAGCTTCGCGAAAAGCGACATGTGTATCGCGTGTCTTCTTGAAAACGATTAACTCTTCGAAGTGACGCTGCAGTGGACATGAATGTTTTTCATTTGGAAGTTCATGCTATTTTTAAATCATTGTTATTTCTGTGCGCTGGGTCAATAATTCATTTAATATCTAATAATCAAGATATTCGATTTTATGGTAAAATAAATGAATTTATTCCTTTTATTATAATAAGATTTTATATTTCTAGTATTTCTCTATGTGGGGTTCCTTTTATAGCCGGCGTTAGTAATATATATATAAATA